ATTTTTCTGTGTGTGGGAAGTTTCTGAGCAATGCTTGAAATGTTTGGCTCCATGCACCAACCCACTGAGAGCTCTCCTGAGAGTTCATCTTTCATCAAGTGGGCTGTGCAGCAAAGCCTGGACCAGTCCCTTTCCTCTCCTTTGTCTCCCCCACCATACAGTCCAGCACACACCATTCTCTGGTAGCAAACCATCATGCCAGAACAACTTCACATCCTGAGTTTCAGACCAATGGCTGCTCTTGCAGGAGAATTAATCAACCTCTTGGTGTTTTACACAGGTATCACCCCCAGCAGCAGCAGTCGGACCAGGACTCCAGCCTCCATTAATGCTACTCCAGCTAACATCAACCTGGCAGGTCAGTGCAGGCCATTCCCAGCTGGGATTGGGACCTGAGCTTCTCCTCCAGGCTCCGCTTTTCCTAATGCAGCGTGTCTCCCTTGCAGACCTGACACGTGCAGTGAATGCTCTGCCACAGAACATGACCTCCCAGATGTTCAGTGCCATTGCTGCTGTGACAGGCCAGGGACAGAACCCAAATGCCACCCCAGCACAGTGGGGCTCCAGCCAGTACGGCTACGGGGGCAGCGGCGGCGGCAGCAGCGCGTACCACGTAGGTGTCACTTCCATTTCTGCTGGCTTCTCCTTGCTGCTAAAACCACTGGGAGCCCAAGGAATCCCTCACTGCCTGGTGTCCCCAAGTCCCGGTTTTGTTCCCATGGTGCTGCACAGGCTGATTCTTGAACCAGGTTTCCTTTTGCCTCCCGTGACTGGAGGAATGAGGCACGTAACACAGCCCTGCTCTGGGGGGAGTTGGAGCAAGGAGCAAACTGCTCTGGCCCCCAAGGAATGTGGCAGGGTGGAGAGGGGGGATCCAGCAGTGAGGGCACACAGCCTTCTGATTGTGCCCCTGGATTGGCAACGTGAGCTGCCAGTGGAGGAGATTAGCTGGGGAGGTATGCGCTGAGTGTGCAGGGCTTTTCAGCTCAGTGCTAATCTCTGAGCTGCACCAGGGGAACACCTCAGCCTGACCCAACACCCAGGGGCTCTGCAGGGAGCAAGATGGAATTGGACAGCTTTGGCTCATGGTGAAACCTTTCTTGATGTGTGCCTGCTCCCAGCCCACTCTGCAAGCTCCCAGCTGGCACCAAGGCAAATTCCAGCTGCAGAAGGACTGAGGAGCCTGGGTGCAAAAAACACACCCAGGGTGCAAAAAACACACCCAGCTGCTGCACCCAAAGAAGAGGTGCTGCAAGACAAGGCTTGCAGGGGGGAGTGATCCTGCTTTGGAGCACCTTGGGAAGCTTTCAGGAAATTTGGCACAGTAAATGCTGAGCTGGGGATAGGCAGGGACTGTGGATAACCTGATGTATTAATCATCAAAACATCTGAAAAAAAAAAAAAGGGAGGTGAGCACCGGGGGGCAAAGGCACTAAGCTCTTCATGGGACAAGAAGCCAGCTGGCTTGGTTTGTGGGAGGGAGCCATCCTGGGAGCTGCTGCACGTTCTCTGCAGCCTGCAGAGGTAGAATTTATCTGTTCTTCCTGCCTGCTGCAGGATGTCATTGCTGCTGGCTTGCCCCAAGTGTCTCTGGTGACCCTTGCCTTTGCTTGGCTCCAGCATTTCCCCTTGGGCTGAGCAAGGAGGGCAGGCCGTGCTGGCCCAGCTCTCAGGGGAGCAGATGTGCTGTGCTCAGCAGGGCTGGGGGCATGCACAGTGAGGGTGGGCACCCCCCTGGGTGGGCAGGGCAGTGCAGGACCCCCCCAGCCTGGCAGGGTGCACCCTCTGTCCCCTGACAGCCTCTGCTCTCTCTCCACAGGTGTTCACAACTCCAGCACAGCAGCCAGTGGCCACCCCCCTGATGACCCCCAGCTACTCCTACACTACTCCCAGCCAGCCCATCACCACGCCCCAGTACCAGCTGCAGGCCAACACCACGCCCCAGTCCACACAGTCCCAGTCGCAGCCCTCATCCAGCTCCAGGCAGAGGCAGCAGCCAAAGTGAGTAGCTCTGAGTGCTCCCATCCAGGGATGGGATTCCTCTCTCCATTGCTTTCCTTGGTTTTTTTTGGTAGCAGCATGATGGGGTTATTTCCCCCATGGAGAGGGAGGGATGGCAGTTTAGGGAAGTTTATTTGTCACATCTCACGTTGTCCCCATTGCAGGACCAACACCCACGCTGCCATCGACTGGGGCAAGATGGCCGAGCAGTGGCTGCAGGAGAAGGAGGCTGAGCGGAGGAAACAGAAGCAGAGGTTGACCCCTCGCCCTTCTCCCAGCCCCATGATCGAGAGCACGCCCATGTCCATCGCCGGGGACGCCACGCCTCTCCTGGATGAGATGGATCGATAGGACCTGACACCCGACACCTCCGCTCCCTGCTCTCCCAGCCGGGGGAAGGAGAGGGAACAATAGGAAGCGACTTCCCTTAGACACATAACTCCTGTTTTATACGCCGTGGGATGGTGGGAAATGACTCTTGGTGATGTGCACCTGAGCGAGAGAATAGACTTGGCAGGGCTGGTTTAAAAATATATACTATATATAAGAAAAATATATCATAGAAAGGAACACTGCATCGGCCTCTGCGTTCTAGGCTCCGGTTTTGAGGCACCTTTGGGAACTTAGCAAAGCAAAGGTGAGGTCAAAGGAGTGTGTCCTTGTACATGCACAGCATTCTGCTTTCACCCCAAAGACTGGGAAGCAAATGGAGCTGGAAGTGCATTGCCCTGGAGTGAGCCTGTTTCCTTTGGATCCTCCCAACCCTGACTGTCACCTCCCCTCGTCCCGAGGCCACAAAGCAGAGTCGTGGGGGTTGTGACAAACGACCCAGAGTTCTCACAAAGTTCCTGTTGTTGTTTGCTCCATGTTTTCATGCGTGACAGGCTCAGCAGAGCCTGTGCCAACCCCAGCTGTGTCTGGAGGGGTCCAGCACAGCAGCTTGGGGTCTTGCTGGAGATGCAGCTGTTGTACCAAAGGCTTGCTCTCTCCTCTGGCTTCTTTTGGAACAATATTTATTTAGTTTTGATTATTTTTTTTTAATCAGACTGCGAAATAAAGCGCCAGCCTGTGGCAGCTTCCCCAGACAGACACGTGGGATAAAGCAGCACGGAGCAGCCCAGAGTGCATGGCCTCCTCCTCTGTACCCCCTTCCCTGCCCAGCTGTAACCAAGAGGAGTGAATAAATAGAGTTTTTACTGAACGCTAGCTCAGAGATTTTCTGCCTGCACCCTGCCCTTCCCTTAGGATTTGCTCAGAGCATAGTTGCTTGGTGGAAGTGGATGCTCCTCCTGCCTTTGTTGCTTGGTGTTGCCCTCTGTGTGCTGCAAGTTTCGCAGAGAAGCTGATTTCTGTTGTTAACAAATAAGGTTTTGTTATGGATGCACCACATGGAGACATCACACTGACATTTGGGGCACCTCCCTGTGGCTGTGGGATAGGGAAAGACACTGGGAGAGGGATAAAGTGGATAAAGAAGTAGGGATTGCCTACATGGGAGAGACATTTCTGAGAGGGAAAGTTCCTGCTGCACACACTCTCCCCTCTCCTGCTTTGTTAGTAGGGATTTTCTATGGAAGCAGAGTCTTTGTTCCTTCCCAGTGCTCCTGGTCAGCCTCCTTTGCTAGGAAATGAGCAGGAACAGCAGATCTTAGGAAACAAAGCTCTTCTTTGCATGCAAATGCTCCTGAAGAATGGCAGCGACCCGGGAGACAAAGCAAAGCTCTTTGCACAGAGAAATGCAGGTCCTGGCTTCAATGGCATCCCCTCTGCAGTGCTGAGGGGCTCACAGGGTCCTGTTCCTCCCAAAGCCACCCAGGCCAGTGGGGAGAGCCGTGGGCTGGGGCCCACAGCTCCGAGCTCACAGGTGGCTGAACCTGGCGCTATTTTCTTATTTCATGAGACTGTACAATAGGAATTTGACTGGGAGCAGCTCCTTACTGGTTGGACCTGAAAGAGGGGAGGCTAGTTGTGTGTTGTTGCCTCCTTTCTGGCTGTCTTTGTTTTTAGTTTTCCCTTGCTGTCAATAAAAGTTCTACTTTTGGGAAGCTGCTCCGCGTGCCCCCTGTCCGTGCTTCCTGCCGGGATGCTGTGGCTGCCACAGGGGCTTTGCAGCCACAGAGGAAGCAGTGCCTTCCTCCACCCTTGGAATTCCCCCCTGGCCTCGTGTGATCCGCTTATTTCAGGGATTTGGGATTGCACTGCACGCTCCTCAGTGTGGGCTTTGCTGTTGGCTTGGCTCCTGGCACTCCGGCTCTGTCCAATGCTGGTGTTTGGTGCTGGTGCAGGAAAATCTTTCCACCACCTCAGCAGGGCACTGGGCTGAGCCATGCTCCACCCTTGGAAGCATTTGGAGGAGTTGGTGGCCGTGCCCTGTTCCCTGCTCCTGGCTACAGGGCCCAGGCAGGGTCCCCACCCAGCAGGAAGGGACACAGGCAGCTCTCCGTGCCCCGGCTCTTCCCAGGCAGTGTCTGCCTTTGTCCCAGGGCTGGAAAAGTGTCTGCTGTCCCACTGTAAGGAGCTCTGCAGGCATTTGAGGAGCCTTCAGGGAGGGCCAAGCCCCTGTTCCTCCCCAAGGAAGGGAGAAGGAGTTGATGCTGGTGTGGGAGCATGGGAAAGGCAAGGCATTAAGAGGATGAGAGAGGGCTTGGGTGGTGCAGTTCAGAGAACTCCCAGAGAAAATGAGATGCCTGAGGAGCTGGAATTTAACCCCCTAGAAGGGGAGCGGAAACGGGCTCAGCCCTGCTGCCAGCATGTGGCCAAGAGCTCTGTCCCCAGTGCCAGGACAATGACATGGACTGAGAGGAGCAGTGAGGAACTGCTCAAACCCCTGGATACCCACCCAGCTGTGTCCCCAGTGCCAGGATGGTGATATGGACTGAGGGGAGCAGTGAGGGACAGCTCAAACCTCTGGATCCCATCCAGCTCTAGGTCTTCCATGATGGAATTTCCCCTGGATGCTACCCCAGTGCCATCCTTTCCCCCACAGACAAAACCAAGGATGCTTGAGCAGATGTGAATTTATTTCACAGCCAGGACCCGTGCAGGGCTCAGGGAGGACTCAGAGCTGCAGCTCTCGTGCAGGCTCAGCCTCAGTTTTACTTTTCAGCCTCTTCTTTCTGTTCCTCTCCTTCCTCCTCCTCTTCCCGCTGGTGGTGGGGACAGGGGAGGGAGTGGCTGGCACTGGCTCCCTGCCCGCTCCCTCCCGTGCTGGGGCATCGCTCAGGATGGTGTTGGATGATGGCAGCAGGGCCCAGGGATCAGCAGGGCCAGCAGGATGGCTCCGCACCCTCTTTTCAGAAGAGCCTTTCTTTTTCAGACCTTTCCCCTTATTCTTCTTATCTTTCTTCCTCTTCCTCTCTTTCTTGCCTGCCTTGGGGGCTGTCCCGGTGTGATGATCCCCTGGGAGCTCATGATGATCCCACGGGGGGCTCAGGGGGACTCCCCTGGGCCTGGCTGCCCTGTCGATGAGCTCTCCCCCAAACTCATACAGCACCGGCTCTCGGGGCACCGCCACAGCCACCGTGTTGTACGCCCTGCACCTGCCAAAACCCAGGAGGCACCACAGGCTGGGACCAACCCCACAGGGCAGGGGGACAGTCCCCAGGGCAGGGGGGCACTCACCAGACATAGAGATAGGGCTCCACACACTCCTCCCTGTAGGTGAACTCGAAGCAGGGCACCTGGATGACGTTGAAGAAGGCCTGGCCCACCGCGCGCGAGGCCGTGTCGTTCACC